GAAATAACGATAGAATTAAATATTTTTACCCATAATAACGGAGTTACTTTCTATTAAACAATTCAAATGACATTTTTTAACCAATAGAAAAATATAACACTGACAGTGAGGAAATAAAGCATCCAGTATTCAGTCGTACAGACTAAATAAGTAAAAAACCTGTCAAAGTCTCACACACCTGTGACCCATCATAAACACTGGTTCGTCGCAGTCTTTAAACAAAATCGTTGCCAAATCATGAATATCTCTAAAAGTTTGTTATCAAAGAAATTTACCATACCAAAGACACCTAGGTATCTTACTTCATTGCGGTTGAAACAGAAAAATCGTATTCGTTAGTCATCCGCGTTAAACCTAACAAAATCAATCAAAACAGCGAAAAATGACTGCGAACGAATCATAAATTATACCTAAGACCCATTTAAGCCCTGCCTTCTTCAATAAAATAAAATCTGAACGGTTTTAAACCCAGAAAAGTAAAAGGAAAGCTTATATCCATTGAAAGGTAGGTGTTATTCACACTTTTGTGATGGAGCCACTTCTGGCGCCCTTCTGTAAAGACTCTACTAATGGGACGCCGACTTCCATTTACATTCCATCAGCAATGAGTCCTCCATTTTGGAGGAAGAGTCGATAGCAGGCATGTAGCAAGTACACCGTGTAGACTGCTATTTCTTAGCCTCGGTGCATTACATATCAACCTACGAAGGAAGAAAGGCGAGTGACCCTCAGAGAGGTTCGAACCCGGGACCTTGTGGTTCTCAGTCCAACGCTGCACTGACTGAGGAACCCCGTTCGTACATTATATTACATTACATTCATTTATACTTAGTGGCTGAATGAAGCAAATTCTGCAACCAGACTTACCATGGCAACGCAAATCCGGAGCAACAATTCTGCACTTTATTATCCGACTAATACTCTTCTAAACTATACACACTTTAGTACTTTGTACTAAAAAATAAAATATGCAGACATACAGCGAAACACGCCCAGGTAAGTCCCGAGTATCCTCCTCCGTGAATTAAGAACAATATGGGACCTTCGGTTCCTTTTAAATACACGTTGAATGATCCGTCTTCGGTCGGCACCTCTATCTTTGAATCAAAAAATTGGTCCCATGGTATCGGAGAGTAGTTCTTGCGTCCGCGGGTGCCTTGAACCGTTGGACCGACTCTAAAATAAACGGAACATTACGATTAAAACAATGCATTTCAAGAACAGTTAATTACGTATGGTGTAGCATGGGAGAGAAACCCTGGGATACGAGTTTCTTGTGAAGGTCTGATGTGCTCATACTTCAGTGACGACGGTCGTACGATGTCCTAAAGGTTTGTTCGTAAGCACGTATTACAACATATCAGAAACACATTATCGGATTATATTTCTGAACCGTGCTTATTCATGCATGAACAAAACTGCCATACAAAAAAGGCAAACGCTCGAAGTACGAGACAGCCATTTACGGATGAACGATATGGTCATGTACCGCATATTAAAAGAGTAAAATACACTCAATCAAGTTAACTAATGTTCAAAACCATGAGACTATCCTATAGATGAAATGCACGTTGTGAAACGCAGGAAAAGTTCATTCTTTGGAACAACCGCCGCACACATTCATTACCGAAATCACACACTTTTATTTGAATCATTTACAACATTCAAACTATTTTCTAGTCGTAACAAAGACGAAAACAAATTTGCACACTGATATATCAAATAGCAGTCTACACTACAATTAGAGATAATTTACATTTTCTAAGCCTCTCATTTTACGTTCTGAAATTTGTGACTTACTAGCATGATTAAAAAATTACTCAAGATAAAGCGATACTCTCACCGAATTTCATAGATTATCAGAACTCTTAACGTTCATACAGTAAGGCCAGTTGTTGACTAATTCAATGTACCTAACCATCATAATGCTAAACCCGTTCTTGATCATTTTACTCTTTTTACCAAAGCAGAGAAGTTCTCGAAAGTCATTGCCAATTTCATACAATCGAGAAAAGGGCAATGCAAACCTGGCAGTAAACTTTACGTCATCATTAACGCTCCGTTTGAATGCCGGTGCTGCGGCTTCCGTCACGTCGAGATTTTCCATTCCACGGGTGCTATTGTTCATAGTAAGTAGTCTATTGTCATGTGATTGTGATAGATAGATAGATTGATCACATGCAACACACGATGGTGGAAGGAAATAGATAACATTTGAAAAGATAGTAGTTCGATTTGACTAGGAAGGCGAGTCCGCGAAGAACATACGAGAAATTGCGTTTGTAATCAGCAAAAAATTGCTCATAAAATTGTCTTCCGCCACGTAGAACTACAAAGACTGGGGTGAGGTGCCTCCAATTCAAAAAAAGAAAACCTTAAAGACTGTCCAAATCTACGAAGCGAACAGAAAACTTCGCCATTAAACTTTTTCTCCTGGACACACTCATTCACGGGGGGCCTATCTGGGAAAAACAGTAACGAACAAAGTATAACCTCATATTTTATACCTGATTATATGAAGCAATGACCCAGAAATATAGCGTTTCCAATAGATCAATGATAATGATGGTGGAAATTTGGCGTCACAGTGACATGCTGATGCTTGTTCATTCATGTGTTGTCTTTCTCAAAAGAACACGACATCTGTCATCCTTTTATACACTGAAACATCGTGTTGTCGATCAAGCTGTAGGTGTGAAAAATAAAAACATAAAGATAGTGACTTAAATTGAAGTTATGAATGACTACATGAACTTCTGAAAATAGACAAAATCCAAAGAAAACAAAGTAATGACGTTTTCAACTGAAATCATTCAGGAACGAAATATGCACTATTTGGCAATGCTGATAAAAAATAACAATGGCTAAAGGAAGCAACCGTACATTGCTTGACTCCAAGAACGAAAAAAAGACAAACTGCACACTGCATGATTGAATACCTGCGCACACCCAATAGAAGAAAGTATTTCTCATGTGATGAAACCGCTGAAGATGCAAAGATTTGGCGCAAGACTATTCATCACGCTCGTTACATGATTTCGATGATGCTGATTATTATGATGTTGACTGGTGTTTTTGCTGAGGAATATAAAGATGAGTACGATGAAGACAATAAAGCTGATGATTACAATATTTAGTGAAAATAACGAGATGACACCCTAGTCAGGAGCTTCAGCAAGTTACTACTGCAAGCGATTCTTGATGGCCAGAACCAAGAGGGAGTCGAATATTTATTGCAGACAAGTTTGTGCCCCATTCAAAGTGAAATGGACGCCTTTACCAATTTACATTCGTAAATTACATAGGATATTTGCGACACTGAGTTTGTGGATCAGAGTTTGCCTCATTCTCAAAAGATTTCCCTGTTTATTGCTTCAAATTTTAATTCAAATAACGTATAACTGCTCCAAGAGCAGATTTTATGGCGTACTGCACGACCCTTTGCTCCTAATTGTTTGAAGGGAGGGGGTATGCGTAATTATGATGATTCTTTAAATATCTTTAAATAAGTGTTGTTATATGGCAGCAGATGGCTCATCCTAGCTATACGCTGGTTAAACTGAATAGCTGAATCATACGATGATATTTCCCCTAGTCGGTTTGTACATGGTCTTGTCTGTGGTTTACTGGCACACTTCACCTGATGGTCAAGAGAACGCATCTTTGTGAATACCATGATGAATGACGTAAACTACAATTTTTTAAAACTTCGCCGTTCCTTACCCTTAGCTCAATGCCTACAGTCTACTTTGTCAATGAAAAATCTGATGCCTGACTGCCTTCGACACAGTCCGTTCATTCCTGAAATCACTAACCTGTGGAGAACAAAAATGATTAACTGACCGACGTGATAAGGTATTTTACTGTATTTGGTTGCAAACTTCTTGTACACAAGTAACAGGTTAAAAATGCATGACATGAATATGCTCGTTTTCGATTGGCAAATGATCAGAGCGCACTTATGCTAGTCATTCATAAGTAGATATGCCAAAACTGCGCAATAAAGAAATGAAATAAAACTTCCTTCGCTTTGCTCAAACTTCAGTGCCGTCGAATAGAAAATCTATGACGTTATTCTGTTTGACAGGAGAACAGAACTTCTCAGGCATGTCATCATCGTCTCCAATTAAGACGTCAACCTAACGCCTT